TCCCCAGCAATCCCCGTACCCTGTCATCCTGTCCCTGGAGAACCACTGTGGGCTGGAGCAACAGGCCACCATGGCCCAGCACATGAAGGCCATCCTAGGGGACATGCTGCTGACACAGCCACTGGAGGGACACGACCCCCATGACCTCCCGTCCCCAGAGGTAAGGCCACCCGACCACTCGGTCACCCACCCACCACGGTGTCCCTGTGTCCCCTCCAAGCCCTGAGCTCGGCCCTTCCTCCTGCAGCAGCTGAAGGGGAAGGTCCTGGTGAAGGGCAAGAAGCTACCAGAGCCATGGCACGAACCCCAGGATGTCAACTCCCTTCTGGACCCTGAGGAGGAGGAGGAGGAGGAAGAGGAAGAAGAAGAGAAGGAGAAGCTGCAGGAGAGAAGCAACCGGCGGGTAAGGGGCTCTCCCAGGTCTATGGTGTCCAGGGGCCACGGCATCCTGGTGGTGCTGAAGGACCATGGTGTCCTGGTGGTGCTGGGGTTGACCGCATCCTGGTGGCCCTGGAGGACAATGGTGTCCTGGTGGCCTATAGTGTCCTGGTGGCCCTGGAGGACTATAGTGTCCTGGTGCCCCTGGAGGACCATGGTGTCCTGGTGCCCCTGGAGGACTATAGTGTCCTGGTGCCCCTGGAGGACCATGGTGTCCTGGTGCCCGTGGAGGACCATGGTGTCCCATCAGTGCCATTGGGCCGCCGTGTCCCAGCAGTGCTGGGGTGTGGGACGGGAGCGCTGGAGCATCCCCCCATCCAGCTCTGCTCTCTCCTCTTCCAGTCGCTGCAGTCGCTGCAGGAGATCAAACCTCTGCAGGTGGGTCGTGTGTTGGAGCTGGGTGGGCTGATGGGTCGGGCACCATGGGAGCGACGAGTCCAGAGGGGACTGAGCTTGGGGACCCCTTGGCTGTGCCCCTGTCTTCCCCCATTGGGCTGAGTGCTCCATTTCTGGGGTCTTCATCATCTTGGGGTTTCCATTGCCTTTGGAACTCCACGACTTTGGGTGTCCATCACTTTTGGCTCTCCATCACCTCCAGGGTGATCCCTCAGGGTCTCCATTGCCTTGGGAGGGTGTTCTCCATTGCCCCAGTTCTCCATCACCTCAGGGCCTCCATCGCCTCAGGGCCTCCATCACCTCAAGGTCTCTATCACTTCAAGTTCTCCATCATCTTGGGTTGTCCATCACTTCAGGGTCTCCAACACCTTGGGGTCTCTAACATCTTGGGCTGTCCATCACCTTAGGTTCTCCATAACCTCAGGGTCTCAACCTCCTTGGGTTCTTCATCATGTCAGGGTCCATCACTCCATTGCTTCAAGTTCTCCATTGCTTTGGGGTCTTAATCACCTTGGGCTCTCCATTGCCTCAGGTTCTCCATCACTTTGGGCATCTCTGTCACCTTGGGGGTCTCAGTGCTCAGCGCCAGTAGGGCAGGGAGGTCTGTAGACCCTCAGGCAGGTGGGTGACCACCAGAGCTGGAGCGGCCCTGACATTACATTGCCTCCTGCAGGCCAAGGACGCGTCCCAGGTGTCTCCAGAGCTGTCGGCCATGGTGGTGTACTGCCAGGCTGTCCCCTTCCCTGGCCTGGATGAAGCCCTGCGCTGTCCCCGGCCCTGCGAGATGTCCTCCTTCAGCGAGAGGAAGGCTCGGAAGCTCATCAAGGAGGCGGGTGAGGGCAACGTGATGGGGATGGGGACAGGGTGGCTCCATGTTCCTGACCTCACTGGGATGCAGGATGGGGCTGAGACCGATGGGCTCAGTCGCTGAGGTGGCTCCATGGGTCATGGTCAGGGACACGCTGGCCCTGGCCGGGGTGCTCTGGTCTGGTGGGACTGGAGTCTGGTGTCAGGGTCTGGGACAAGTGGCCAGGGTGAGGGTCACAGGTCCAGGATCAGGGTCTGGGGTCAGGGTTGGGATGTGGCATCTGGGTCCAGGGTCAGGTCTGGGGTCTGGGACTGTGATTAAGATCTGGGTCAGTGTCCAGGGACTGAGGACTGGGGTCTGGGGTCAAGGTCTGGGGTTTGGGTTTAGGGGCCAAGGTCCAGGGTCAGGATCTGAGGTCAGAGTCTGGGGTCAAGGTCTGGGGTCCATGATCTGGAATGAGCTTCTGGGGTCCAGGGTCAAGGTCTGGGGTCCAGGGTCAAGGTCTGGGGTCAGGGTCTGGGGTCTGGAGTCCAGGGCTGAGATTAAGATCTGGGTCAGAGTCCAGGGTCTGGGGTCTGGGTTTGGAGTCTGAAGTTCAGGACCAGGGTCTGGGACCAGGGTCAGAGTCTGGGCTCTAAAGTCAAGGTGTGGGGTCAAGGTGAGGGTCCAGGGTCAGGGTCTGGAGCCCAGAGCTTGGGTCAGGATCTTGGGTCACCACCCAGGGTCTGAGGTCTGGGGTCAGGATGTGGGGTCAGGGGTCCAGGGTGAAGGTCCAGGGTTGGGGTCTGAACCCCAGGGTCCAGGTCACGTTTCAGGCTCTGGATCCACCTGGCCGGGCAGGTTCCATCCCTGTCCCCGGGCACACGGGTGCAGGCAGGACACTGTCACCCGCTGGCAGGGCCCCAGCCCAGCACCCGTGGGTGCCCAGCCCCGCTCAGCCGTTGCCCCGCCAGGCCCGGCGCTGGTCCGGTACAACGCCCGGCAGCTCAGCCGCGTCTACCCGCTGGGGCTGAAGATGACCTCCTCCAACTACAACCCCCAGGAGATGTGGAACGCCGGCTGCCAGCTGGGTGAGACCCCAGGGGACACCCCCTGACCTGGCACCTGACACATGGAGCTGTCACCCACCGTGACACCTCGTCCCCCTGGTCCCGCAGTGGCCCTCAACTTCCAGACGCCGGGTTATGAGATGGACCTGAACGCCGGGCGCTTCCTGGGCAACGGGAGCTGCGGCTACGCGCTGAAGCCCCCCTGTCTGCGCTGTCCCCCCGGGGAGGGGACCCGCCGCCTGGCGCTGCACGTCAGGGTGAGGCCACCCTGTGCCCAAGGTGCCACCCAATGTCCCTGCTGGGTGACACCCGTGGTATTCCCATGCCTGGCCAGATGCCACCTGCATTGCTTTTCCCAGGTGACACCAACGCCACACTCAACCAGGTGACACCCACGTCCTTTCTGGGTGACGTCAGTCCCATGTCCAGCCAGGTGCCACCCACGTCCCTTCTAGGTGACACCAACCCCACACCCAACCAGGTGCCACCCACATCCCTTCTGGGTGCCACCAACCCCATGTCCAGCCAGGTGCCACTTGCACACATTTTCCTGGGTGCCACCAACCCCACACACACTTGGGTGCCACCAACCTCTCTTCTCCTGGGGACACTGACCCTGTCCTCACATCTGTTCAAGTACCATCCATGTCCCTACTCCTGGGTGACACTGACCCCAGCCCCACGCCTGGCCAAGCGCCACCCATGTCCCTTCTCTTGGGGACACCAACCCTGTCCCTGCACCCAGCCAAGCGCCACCCATGTCCCTTCTCCTGGGGACACCAACCTTGTCCCTGCACCCAGCCAAGTGCCACCCGTGTCCGCCCGTGGTGCCACCAGCCCCTCTGTCCCCAGGTGATCTCGGCGCAGCAGCTGCCCAAGCTGAACCAGGAGAAGGGCAGCTCCATCGTGGACCCCTTCGTGCGGGTGGAGCTCCACGGCGTCCCGGCCGACTGCGCCAAGCAGCAGACCCACCACAAGCTCAACAACGGTGAGAGCCCACTGGGCCACCATGGCCTGGCCACCCACCCCTGGGGACATCCCAGGGCACCTCGTCCTCAGAGGCACCTCAGGTCACCCTGCTCCTTGGGGACACTCCAGGGCACCCTGCTCCTTGGACACCCTGATTCCTGGGGACACCCTGGTCCCTAGGGACACTCTGACCCCTGGAGACACCTCAGGGCACCCTGATCCTTGGGGACACCCTGACCCCTGGGGACACCCCAGGGCACCTCATCCTCAGGGGCACCCCAGGGCACCCTGATCCCTGGTGACACCCTGGTCCTTGGGGACACTCTGATCCCCAGGGACACCCTGATCCCTAGGGACACCCTGACCCCCAGGGACAATCCAAGACACCCTGGTCCTTGGGGACACTCTGATCCCCAGGGACACCCTGATCCCTAGGGACACCCTGACCCCCAGGGACAATCCAAGACACCCTGGTCCTTGGGGACACCCCAGGGCACACTGACCCCTAGGAGGTAGCAGAGCCCTGGGGCACCCAACACCCCGGGCACCCACTGCCCCCTGCACCCACC